TATTATCTCGAGATCCCGACTTATTATCTCGAGATCCCGACTTATTATCTCGAGATCCCGACTTATTATCTCGAGATCCCGAGAAACTAAGTCAAGATCTCGAGATCCCGACTTATTATCGCGAGATCCCGACTTATTATCTCGAGATCTCGAGATCCCGACTTATTTTCTCGGGATCTCGCGATAATAAGTCGGGATCTCGAGATAATAAGTCGGGATCTCGCGATAATAAGTCGGGATCTCGCGATAATAAGTCGGGATCTCGAGATCTCGACTTAGTTTCTCGGGATCTCCCGGTAATAAGTCGGGATTTCTTTCCTTTTTTTTTTTCTCCATGTCCCCTTAGGGGCTCCGTAGTTTTCCCCATTTGTCTTTGTTTTGTTTTCTTAAACTGTCAGTGCATTTCTTCCTTCTGGACTTTCTATTTTTTCCCCCGCTTCCTGCTGCCTCGCTCTACTATGAAGAAACCTGTGTTAGATGGTCTCTCCCCTGTGCGCCGATGATTGACAGCCCCGCTGCGCATGTAAGCGGGAGAGGGCTGAGGAGTTTAGAGAGTCAACAGGAGCGGGAGAGGGAACGGGGAGGAGAACCTGTGATGAATAGAGGGAGAATGAATGATGATGGAGCAGTTTTAGACCATCCGAAACCAGGTGCACAGGTCCTACTTTCTGGCACAGGGTGGGGGAGAAAAAGGAAGCAGTGCGTGGAAGCCGTTGGACTTCTTCAACCCGCCCTCAGAGAGGCAGCATTTCTCTAGAAAGGAGCAGGATCTGCGGAGCTTGTCTGTTTGGAGATAATTGCCGACTGTTTTGAAATGCAAATATGTCTCGTGTGGTGGAGGATTAACCGTTGAGTCATATTTTAATTCTTTCCTCATTTCTCTCTCTCTCTCTTTTCTGGGTTTCTCCCCATCTGTCAACGTTCTTCTCAACCACTCGCAGTCCAAGGAGTCCTCATCTGTGCTGAGCTGCGACGTCTCCCCAGATGACAAGTACATAGTGACGGGCTCCGGCGACAAGAAGGCCACTGTGTACGAAGTGGTGTATTAAAGAATAAGCGGACACGGGAGACAATAGGATGGACAGAGGCTTTTCTTTATTTCTATTTTATATTTTTTTTTTGTTCTTTGTTATGCATCAACTCCACTTGATTCTCAACACCGCCAAACGTCGCCTTCATCTTCTCGTATCATCAGCCCTAAAACTTCATCACTGCCCTCTTGTTTTGCTGTAATATAAGCTGCTGTAGTTGTTCCCAAATGTCCCCTCACCTTCCCCTTCCTCCACCCAATCTAAGCTCGTTGAATGAGGCATGATAGCGGAGAGAGAGACGGACAGAATGAGAAACGGCAAGATAAGGAGGACAAAGGGAAGAGGGCGGTGGAGTGTAAAGATAAAGTTGTGAGGAGAAAGAGAGGAAAAAACGAGTAAGAGAGAGCAATGGAGCAGAAGGAAGCAACATTAAATGGGGGTTCGGGGGGGGGGAAGGTAGGGTAATTAGGGCTGTTTCCTGATTAAGAGCTCAGTGGAAGGGAGGCCCCCAGAGGAGGCGTGGAGCGGCACGGTGGGAGCGCCAGCCAGGAGCACTGATACCACACAATCGATTCATTAGCGAGACAGTGGAGGCCTTAATGAGGCTGACGCTGCAGCTCCATCTCCCCAGCGAGAGGTGTCAGGAGCCGGGGAACGATGACGCGGCGAGATGCTTCAGATTTCCACATAAACCGACACGAAAATCCGCCCAAGACGCACAGAGCCGAGAGTACAAACACTCCGTTACGTTCCCCTCCCCTCCCCCGACTCCCGCCGCCGATTGAGGTAAACGCGAGACTGGGGGGACGGGGGGGGGGAGGAAAAACTCACAACGTGCCGAGCACCCAATTAAACATTCATCCCAGCGCCCTCCCCTGTCTTTCTGCCTAATATCTATTTTATTTTTGTCTGACAAAGGCAGCAGCCTAATGAGCAGGGGAGTCGATGGGATTCTCCCAGGGCCCGGAGACACAAACAGAGAACATCAGCCGATCCGTTGCCTCTAATTCCTCCGGATTGTTCTCCTGACATCCAGCGCCGCGCTCACTCTCATTAAAAGGCGCTGTCAGCTAGATGAAGTAGCAGCACAACCAAGCTCACTGTGAGGCACACTGGAGGGCAAATTAACACCACGCGATTACACCATCATCAGTAGCTAACTAAGCAGTGACTAATCCAATTCCTTTCAAATTTTATGCAACTAGTTGCTGTTTTCATTTCTGCATTTCTTCATCTCCATCACCTGCTTACCTGCTCTGATTAAACCTTGTCCTATAAGCCATTGGTTGTCATTAAATTAGAGGGTAAACATTTTAAACGCGTCCACAAATCTAAATGAATGCACCACTCCTGTGTCTGTAAACTAAATGTGAAGTTGGCAAAGTCCACTAACTGAAAACAGAGGGGGTCTAACGCAGCGGTGTTATCTGCACACAGCACACTGTGTCCAGCTAAGATCACCAATTAAAACGCTGTATCTTGTTTGTTTGATCCTTGGAAATGCCACAGTGTGAAAATAAATTGCCACTTTTCCATGGTCTGAAGCGGTTGCCGGGACAACAGGTGGCATTGCAGGAAGTCTGCGGCTGTGCCCGAGCAAAATCTTGGCACCAAAAGGACCCCCACACGTCGCTTTTTAAACAAATTTGAGATGCTGCTGAGCAATGAAGCTGTGTTTGAAACTTTCTCTTGTTCGCTCATTACCTGTTGCATATTCACTATTTTTAAGTCTAAAGCTTTTGTTTTATACATGCAAAGCTAATCAAATTCCGTTATGTTTTATATGTGCATTATATTGACATTTAAGTTTTACATAAATAGACACCGGTGCCTAAATCTGAGGTAATGGGAAGTATGATTTTGCTGTTTTCAGTGGAAAATGCATTGTAATCAACATAATCTGTCTTCATATCACAGACACTGAACATGAGGACAAATGGCACCCTCCATGTTTATTGGCACTCCTTGTAAAAGTGTATAAACATTTTAAAATGTACCTTTTATCGTAGTAATACACTGAAAAGTGTTGAAAACCGTTTTTTTTCTTAATTCAGGAATAAAATATCAAAATGTGCTTGCCAACCCTTACAGTATCTATAAATGTCTCTGAAACATTTCCCATTGTATACTTTTTACATTTTTATTTTAATTGATACAAATTTTGTTTTATTGGGTTATTGATATGAGACACAAATGTCCTGTTCTCCAGAGATTTAGTATACGCGTCTCACTTTAATGTTCCCGTCTTTCCTAATTTGAAGAGTGATTAAGTCATAAAATCGCTTCAAAAATTGCTACTAATCTCAAATTGTCCATATTTACAGTCAGACCAATACTTAAAAAGCTTAAAACAACTGGAAATGGGACAAAAGACCCATGATTATCTTTCCCACAGACAATGAGGGAAATGTCAAAGGGTAAATCATGGTCACTGCTAGAAAGCTGCTGAAAACGGTTAATGCAAACTGATGCTACTGCAGTAAAACATTAATTTATTCCAAGATATTTTTTTACTCATTTCTATAAGTGTCAATAATTGTGGAGGGTGATGTAAATCATACGTTAATATTTCTGAAGAACTGCTGATCCGTGTCAGTTTTTATGCCGTGTTTCAAAAGATAAGTTTAATCCGTTTTGCTGTTTAGACTCGACAACTTGGGTTTTAAATATGCCATGCTTTCTACAAGGTCTCCAAAATCCTCTGGGTTGGACTGAGAGGGAGACACACCACTTCACAAGTCAACCGTTTGGAGGTTTTTACTGTGCTGGACACTTGATCACTTCCCAATAGTTAGCAACCTGAGCTGAGGAAGCACGTTGATGCTAAAGCATGTTGATGCTAACATGCTTCCTCAGCTCAGTCCGTCGCAGTCGGCTGTTGTAGCAAAGGCCTCAGCTGTATGTTACTTTTACTGTACCACCAGAATGGGAGAATAAATGAACAGAACTGGTTGTGGGACACAACCACTCCTTTATAGCAACTTTAGCAACAGCTCTAGTTTTTTTTTCTTTTGATTTCATGAAGCTGCAACTAAAACTTTGAAATGTGGACGGGTTTGATCTGTTTTCAGTACGTGCTAAAAGCTAACCACAGTTAGCCTACAGACATGTATTGTAATGAGCATTAAACATATTTATTTGGACTTTTCTACTTTCAACATCACTTCACATATTCCAAAATAAGAAAACTATCAGCGCTCTCCATTTCTGTAGAGCCTGTGTTTAGAAATAAAAGGCACATTTCAATTTCTTCTATTAATTCACTGCACCATTTCATTATTTTTTTTTTATGACTAGTGATTGCTTGTCCTGTATAATATGTTTATGTACTCGGGTTGCCTGTGGCTTGTTTTGGGCTCAGAGGGGGATACGTACATATGGAGATAGATAATCAAGGGAACACAGGTGGGATGTATTGAAAACCTACCAAGAACTCCACTGTTTGTTGTTTATTCTTTATCCCCTCCTTTTCAAAAGTGGTAGTAAGTGTACTTGAGTCTGTTTCTTAGCCCTTATGTTGTTTTCAGCTCCTACTTCTTTTGATTCGTGCCCGTGTTCAGCAGGCACTAAAGATTTGCTATGAAGGAGGCTCCACTTTCACTGCATGCTTGTTGCACTAAAGCTGAGCTGCTCAAAAGGCAAAAAAAAAAAAAAAATCATATTTTATACAGTGGCGATCCTTAATAGGTCCTCTTTTCAGAAAATAAAGGTGGTATGCAATTTTGTTTACCTGTATCCAATGTTAGAAAAGTTTATCTGTGTTTTTTAGCTGCAGCGCTGAAGCCGAACATGAGAATCATGAGGGCCTTCTGCAGAGTCAGAGACGTTCTGTACAGCTTCCTGCCTCTTTTTTTTTTTCCTCTCTGTCCAAAAGACCCAGGTAGCCATAAATGACTCTCACGTACACACGCTTGTATGCTACTCAAAACGATGCTGTATAATGGCTATGCATATGGTGGTCTAGCGTCAGTATTTGGGACATTGTATTTGATACTTTGTTTGAATTAATCAACATTTCCCTGCCCCACCTGTGCTTCTGTTTCAACAGTGTAAAAAAAAAACAAAAAACTTTTTTCTTTTATGGCTTATATTAACTTTTCTGTTTTGGAAAGCCAAGGAACTTTCTTTTTTTTTTTTTAAATGCACTGTCTTCCCCTCCTTATGCGTTTTTTTCCTTGTGCTGTACAACAAATGCTATCTGTGAAGAATAAACCAAACTTGTGCTCATCATTTCAGGTGTCAAAATCTTTCATTTTCACTGAATAATTAACAAAAATGTCAACAGTTTGTTCCACGCTGAAATCTTTACGTTATAAACAGGGTTTAAAGCACATTAGCAGGCTAACGTGAGAGTCAACAGTTTCCTTTAGCATTTTTTTAATATAAATATTTAATTACTACTGACAAAAACGATGCAAGTATTTGCTTTATATATCTAGCCTCACAGCTGTGGTTTGGCTTATTTTCACTTAGTGCAGAATTTGAACCAGGTTGAACTAAACCTACGTAGTTCAGGGTAGAATATATTTGCAAAGGTTTTTCATCTTGTACACAAAAGTACATATTCTCTGTGCCATAACACTGCTGAGCGTGGTGTTCCTTCAGCAAATGGCATGGTTTACACTCTATATGCTCCAGTTAATCAATTACTGGTTGACAGTCATTACAATAATCGATTCATCACGATCAATCTGATTGTTTCGGGCCATGATGTCGTCGAGAACATTTAAAGCATCTCAGCGGAACATTCTCCATGATCACTGAAAAGCGTCCTCTGGAGCATTATCATAACGAGTTCAGATCCAACACACACTAAGCACAAGCCTCACCGTGAAAGTCTGAGATCTTACAGCGGCAGCGCCATGAACGATAGTTCATGCTGTGTGTTTAAATCCCAAGACAATTCCTCCCCCCTCCGCCCACCTCACCTCTGATCCTCCAGACAGTCGATAAACTCGGAGATCCCTCTGAATGAGAGAAGCGCAGTCATCACAGGAGAGAGGAGGCAGCGCGCATTCACCTTCAGCAGCCTTCATTTCTCATCTAAATATTTCTAAGATGCTTTCTGACACCATGCTGTGAGAACACGCTGTTCTGGCTGGTAGGGTTTGAACAAATAGGCAACAAATGCTTCCAGTTTTTTTTTCCTTCTTTGCACAGTTTGAAACATCCAGATGAAATCTGCCAAAAGCCTGACTTGGAAAACTTGTGCTGGTGTGCGATTATTTTAATTTCTTCCATCACAAGCGCACACACACACACACACACACACACACACACAGGCAAAGGTCAAGAAAACAAACAAACAAAAAAAAAGCAGGACACTGTTGGATTTTCAGAAGCAGATGCTCAAATCGATGTTCTAAAAGCAACATGAAGTCAGAGGACAATCTCCTTTGCCTTTAGAGACCTTTATTTACATGTTCATGGATCAGAATGGTAGCTATGAAAATACAGGCCAGTCCATCTGTATGTGCCCTAACAAATACAACGAAAGAACATGAAATACTGAATGAAAGACGCGCTTACCCTGAACCACAAGAGAACGTGTCGTTTGAACCGACTTCCAAGTCTTTGTATTCGAGATCGTTTTCCCCAATTTTAAATGAATGAAAACAGTCCGATTCTCTGGATGTTTCAGAGGAAACCAACTAAGCCCTGTTCTGTCACGTATACATGAAAAAAATGTTACAATCATGATGCTGAAATAAAAAAATAAAATAAAAAAAATAAAAAAAAGGAAAAGCAAAAAGTATCTGGAACGTCAGTAGAGCACCCCGACATGTGCTGTGTGCCGATCAGAACTCACACAGGGCCGGGATGACTCCGGCTTGGACCCCCGTCAGGACAGCTCTAATTAAACCTCCATTCAAATCAGTTCAACTGTTTGCAATTAATCCAAAAGGGGGGGGAAAAAAAGAAAAAAAGAAATGTTTTCTTCTAACTTCTTTTGCACTACAGAGGTTTTATTTTGTTTTGTTTTCTTTTTAAAAAAAGAACAACAAAAAAAAAAGAAAAGTTCTTTGGAGGAATCCCACTTTAGCGTAGCTATAGACTAACCAGCTTTCTCAGAGCATTAAACACCAAAGTTTATTTTCCAGAGATGTGACTTTGCGTCTCCTTGCTTCTCTCTCGCTCATTTCTCACAAACGCGAACAAAACGACGAAGTACGAGTTGAGTGTCTCTTGCTCTTCACACACCGCCGACACCCTGTACAGTCACTGGTGCAGGGAGGGGTGAGGGGGGGGCCTCGACTTGCCGCCCCCCCTCTCCCCCCGGGGATCGTTAGCTTTCAGTGAGGAGCCAATCAGAGATCAGTAAATGACTTCATAGACTGTGGCCTTCTTGTCCCCAGAGCCGGTGACGATGAACTGGTCATCAGGTGAGATGTCACAGCTGAGAACTGATGAAGACTCCTTAGACTGTGCGGAGAGACGAAGAGGAAGAGGAAGCTTTACAAACTACAAGGTTTAAAGAGAAACTGAAGCTCTCAGGTTTGCTGAGTCAAATCTATTGTGTCCTGTGTGAAAATAAAACAGATTCTACCTGGAATATGCTGGATCCGTAGGGCGTCCGCCAGGCGTTTAGGAGGTTATCTTTCCCCGTGCTCACGAACCATTTACCTACAGGACAAAACACACACTGCTGTCATGTCAGCAGATAAAGCCCCATGGGGGGGTGAGCTACGGATGGTTCCGACCGGGAGTAAAATGGGTTTTTACCTCCCTGTGATTAAATACCCTAAAGTAGTGCTACGTAGTCAATGCATGTTTTCAGTGTGCGTACCGCAGTATGCGAACTTGAGTGAGAGGACGCAGCTCTCGTGGAGGTGCAGCTGGTACTTGTCGGGTTTGGAGACGTGCAGCACTTCCACGTTGCTGCTCTCCATCCCCACAGCCAGCCACTCGCCTGTCGGACAGTAACCCAGGGAGAAGATCTGGGGCGCACAGGGAGGGTGATTGTTTTTATTTTTTGTGTCATTTATAGGATGCTAACTTCAGGTAGCAAGAGTCCTGACCGAGTACCTGCGAGGTGAAGTCGTGCTGCTGCAGCTGCCGGCCCTCTCTCAGGTCCCAGCAGCGGACCGTGTTGTCCAGCCCTCCCGTCCAGAGCTTGGTGCCATCATTGGAGATGTCGATGCAGCTCGCTCCGTCCGTGTGGCCCTGGAACTGCCTGCACAAAAAAGGACATAAAACCCATCAGGCATCAGTGGGGGTTTTTTCCACTAAAGTAGTTAAAATGTGACAGAAGGATCGGTGCTAGGAAATTTTTAGGTTTTTTTTAATTTTTTTTTTTTTTTTTTTTTTCCACAATTAGTAGCCACATGACCCAGATCATGTCAAGTTGAACGTTTCTTTCTGCAAATATCTGCTCCCCCTCCTGTTGTAAACTCTCTGCAGTGCAGGGAGACGGTTCATCTACATGAATTACAGGATTTTTCTCCCGACTGGAAGCACATGCAGTGACACACACAAAATACAATGAGACTGTATGAAAGTCTGGTTACATCATTCACTCAGACTTTTATACATTTGATGCTCAGGTGGCCAGTGATGGCATAGTTACTTTGAAAAAGTAACTTTAATAAGATTATTGATTACTCTTCAAAAAGTAATTTATTGACTTCACTGACTACTTGATTTGGAAAGTAACTAAGTTAGATTACAAGTTACTTTATCAGTTACTGTAAGCACCTGTTTTTGCCAATACTTACTTAATTGCAAGTTATTTTATAGAACAATGGAGATTGTTTCAGTCCAAAATATGAACTTTAGTAATTTTTGTGTGCTCCACTAATGTCTGTAAAACTCCAAGTAATAGCAGCACACAGTGATTTGAATAAGTAACTTTAATCTGATTACTGGATTTGAAGCACAGTAACGTGTTGGATTACTCGTTACTGAAAATAGTGGTAGGATTAGAGTAACGCGTTTCTTTGAAATGCATTACTGACATCACTGCTTGTGGTGCAAAGTGACAGAAACGGAAAGAGGCGATACGTTTCCTAAATTTTCTATTCAAGTTACAGAGAAATGGTCATGAATATCTGCATAAATGTGTGGATTAGCTAACCTATTATGCCTTCCACTATATGAGATCCAGTTACATTTTGGTGCTGTCAGCATTTTAGATGCATGAGGAGATAATATCAGGTCATCTTTCCTGAAGCTTGTCAGTTTATAAACTAAAGGATGGGTCCTCTGGGAGCTTGTCCTGGAGGTTTCCTGACTGTTTTATGAGCAACAGATGCTAATAGCTGCTGCAGCACTGCATGTAGATAAACAGCTGAACATGCAGTAGCAGAAATGTCTCCTGCGGATGACTTTATGGCTCGTCTTTTCTGGAAATTCAGTGGTAGAAGATTTAAGACTGCAGTGCTAATGTGGGGAAAGAAAATGGTTCTTTGGGAGTATTTACCCCGTGCTCTAATGGTAAAACCATTAATAACCTGGCAGGAACTTTACAAATTACACTTTATAGAGTGAGACAGAACCTCAGCTGAAAACCAGAAATGTGCCTTTTTAAAGTTGATTTTACCAGAACTCTTCCTCCCCACTTCACCAGCGCCAACTTACTAAAAAACTAATCTGGGTATTTTCTTAGTTTCCATCTGCTCTCCTCGTCCGACTGAAACCGT